TTAAAGCTGTCCCTGCTCACTGCAGGGGGGGGTGGGCTAGACAATCTCTAAAGGTCCCTTCTAACCCAAAGCATTCTATGATTCTATGATTCTTTTGATCAGAAATGCTCACTTTTTAACCATTCCTTGTCTCTTCTCTTTCACACTTAAAGTATTACATAGCCAGTTTTCCAGGAAAAGGTTTTCCAAAGCTAAAATCTCACATCCATTTTAGTTGTTCCTCTGGGTTAATTAATGCAGCCAGTAAGCAACATATTTGCAGGCAATGTAGCTAATGATTCATATTTAAGTAACCCAGAACCTTTTGTACAAAAAGCATGATAGGCAAACAAACATGTTTTCTTTATTACAGGAATAATACTTCAAGAGCCTTCAAGTTGGTGTCTGTGTTTCAGTTTATAGGAAAAGCTTCACTGTGCCTGCAACAGCAAATTCACTCACCATCTGCAAAATTACCATTTTCACTTCAAAACAGTTTTCTAAAACCTGGAAAAATCTCTCAGGAACTTTAGTCAACTAATTACCTCTGCAATTTAAGGTTTGATTTTTCCTTTCCGTCATTCTGAGCCAAGTCAGAATAGAGCAATTTAAATAAATACTAAAGCAAGGCTAGAAAAGAAGGAACTCAAAGAGATACAAACTTCCAATGCAGGCTTTTCTAGCTAAGAGATTTGTGGCAAAACAAGGGTTATTCAGAAGTACCTGCTATGCAGAAGGGTTACCAATATTTCAGAGACACTTAACTCCATAATCCCTAGAAGCATACATGATGAGGAATATTTATGATCCATCTATTCCCAGCAAATCAATATATAAATATATGACCTTCAAGTACCATAAATAAGTCCTCTCCACCACACTCATTTACAAAAATGTACATAATGTATTACATAAAACCTTAATTGGAGTCTACTCCCCATCTTGGTGGCTGAAATCTGTCTTTCCCTCCCTGACTGTTCATTTCAAACACTAGTTTCTCTTCCTCTGCTTACTGCACCTTCCTTACATCAAGGTGAGGGGTTGAGCCAGCTGCACACCAGTGGGTCAAGAATTCATTTATTGCTTCTCAGTCCTGAGCGGAGATGAGCAAAAAGCTCTGCAATTTGCTGTTTGGTAGTCTGGGGGCCCTAAGGATACATCCAGTGTTTCCCTTTCCCCACCTTCATCAGACATCCCAACTGACTAAAGAAGGGGGAGGGTGTTCAAGCAAAGAATAGATGGTAAAAATTGGGGATGGGCAGCTTCTGTTGTGGAATTTTAGCATTAGGGTCTGGTGGCTTGTCTGGAGCAACTGTGGTGATCTAAAATTATTATATTTGGGAACACTATTTCTCCCTTCAGAAATGGTATGGTCCCATACCATTTTTGGTGTTCAAGGTCAATTAGTGAAGCAGGTGAAAGAACAAGCCATAAAAGTAAAATAAGGTCACCTGAGACAGGCTGGCTTACCACTCAAATATCAGAAAGCTAGAGGCACAGGCACATGAAGCAAAAGCAGCAGTTTCTGAGTTTCACAGCAGTAATGAAAATCGCTGTTGTCCCTTTCTGAAAGCCTAGCTGACTCAGCCAGACTAGAAACTACATCTGGAAGTATAAGGATATTTTTACACAACTTAACTAATTCTGAGCAAAAATAACATTTCTCTATCAATAGTCTATTGTACTTGCTATGGTAATCCATATTTATATGATATTCTGCTTTCAGCACCCAGATACCAAAATGCAGTAATCCAGGAATGGATCCAGCAGTGCCAGGGATTAGCTGCAGTATATCCCTAAAGAAAAGGGCTTTATAGGGGGCAAAGATCTCCCTTAGAGAAGATCAGTCAACCTGCAGTGCAACCAACAGCAACAAGGAAGACCAGTCTGTGGTACAACTAGACTGCTCCCAGTAGCAAAGAACCATCCAGGCGCACCATTTTCCCTTTTCAATCTGGTAATTGATTCACTCAAAGGAACTGATGGTCAAACAGAAAAACTGAATTATGTTGTTTTACTTTAGATGTGTATGGATCCCCATTTCCTTCAAACAAAGTCTGTGGCATCAGTCAGGTCGCAAGGAGCTCACATGCAAGTACCACAGTACACCAGGAGTGACCGCTGGGGACCCAACAGAGCTGTCAGATGTCGGACAGTTAAACAGACCCTGGGTCCTTCTTTGCTGCCCAGCTCTGCGTGGGAGGCTTATAATTTGAAAAAGCCTCTTTATAGAGAAGCAGATTTAAAAGGTTTACTTTCAGAGATGATACCGAATAGACCGTGTGACCAAGGAGAGCAGATGTCTGCCACAGATCTACACATAGATCTATCATAGGCAGCTGAAGCCACACAGCACTACAGCTGTGAATGAAAAGCACCACATTATGACTTTGTGCTGTGAGCCTCACAGGGAACCAGAGCATTTTATCCCTGCTGCCAAGTTAATTGGTGCTGGGTTAAAAAGTTACAGAGCAGTCAAAAAGAGATTGATTGGTTTTAATTATGAAGCTTCATATGCAAAAACTGAGAAGTACTTGACAGATTGCGTAGCCCCCAAGCTTGTCCAAGAAATTACTTACTGCTTCACAAGATTCCTGTTATTGCCTAAAATATTAATGTAATTACCATGCAGCCAAAGTGTTTTGAAGGATGAAAAGGAGAAATAACATTTAAAAAAAAAAAAAAACCAAACACCAAACCGTGCCTCCCCCCTCCCCAAACCACCAAAAACAAACAAACAAAAAAAAAAAACCCAAAACACTGAAAGTATCTGTACCCTCAACACTTAAGACATACAGCTGTCTGGGCTGTAACTTTTATCAGACCCTGACATCCTATTAAATCAGTTGTGAAACTGTTTGTCAAAACCGGCACACACACATTATCACACATAACTCTTCTCATCAGAAATACTTCAACCTTTGTCATTTTTATTAATCTTATTTGTGTACAGTAATATCAATCACAAAAGGGTAGTTATCACTCTCTAAGCACTTGAGGCAGTGAAAGGCAGCGTCAGAGTAGTTACAATATCCTGACTACAGGATGCCGACGCATTGAGTTTAAGCCTCAGACTAGGCTTTTATCATACCTGCACCAACAAGACATTGAGAATCAGGCTGTTTGAGCCAGGATATCAAAAAGAGCTAAGCATAACCCCCATGAGCGAGACAGATCACACTTTAAGACTTGGGCCTGATGGCTGGGATATTTTGGGCGTATGATGACTATGTAGAAATCCCAAACTAGTATAGGCAGATAATTTTCTAATGAAAAATGAATGCTGTTATTTTGAAAACACTTCTTTCCGAGAAGGTGTCAAAAGAACAGCCATAAAACCCTCATATATGAATCTCTAAAGCTCATACCTCGCGTTCACTCTGTTTGCTTTAAGGAAAAAAAAAAAGTCTTATTTACCTGTAGTTTTTGTTCATCTTCCACACCTTGCAGCCCTGACAGACGGTGCTCAGTCTCATCCAGCCACTTCATTAGACTGTCATGTTCCTTTTTATACTGGGAAAACACTGGAGAGAGTTCCACCACCTGCCTCCTTTGCAATGACCTGCACTCCTACAATCCAGTGTATTAGGATAATATAGTATAAGAAGAGGGAAACAGTGAATAGAATAGGTCTTATTTATTTGAAAAACAAAAATATTTGAGGGATTCATTTGAAGAACCAAATTTCAAAATACGCAATGGTAGAATTTTTTTTTTAAATAGCTATATTCTGTTTATCTGCACAGACATGTAATCAAAGCCAGCCTGAGGGTCTTACTCTGCCTTTGAGCTACAGCTCACCTTACCAACTCTCATATGATTCAAACAGGTGAGCTAAAAGGAGTATAAGAATACAGATCCCCTTTGTTCTACACAAAAAAGTCTTTAATGTGGCATGTGTATGAAAGCACCACAACATAACTAGAGTCCTCAATTTCTGATAATATCCTCTATAGGAAACAAGAGGAATTCAGGAGCAGACTCATATTCTCACAAACCTCTTCAGCTGAGAACTCAATGAATGTGTTTGTGTACATGTGCCTATGTAGCCACTCTTCACACAGCCTGGTGGTGGAGACAAACCTCTGTTGGCAGGCCAGCAAAGACAAGCAAAGCAAATGCCTAGATGTCTGCACCCATCTGTGAAAATAGATATAGGCTGGCCCTCTGTGAAGCTGTGAAAAAGACTTTTAAAACCAAAACCACTCCCCCAAAACTTTTCATATTTTGAAATTGCAAAGATTCAGAGTCAGACTGTGCGTACACCCATTAAACTCTTGCCCAGAGAATCTTATACGCTAAAAGAGTCATAACCAGGTTGTAAGTGGAATACCAAAGGGAAGACTGAATAAATGAGCTTTATCTATAGTAACTATCATAATCATACCTGCACACTGTTGTACTTTTTCTGCAGAAGCAACAGCTGTATGCGGATCTTCTCTTGCTTATGGTCCTCCATAGGCTGCTGTAACAACTGCCCTCCTCTCTGTAAAACTTCTTCAATCTGAGCTCTTTCTTGATCCAGCTAAAATTACACAAGTCTATTATCTACAGAAAGCTCAGCTATGGTTTCCAAAATGAATTTATTACCTACTCAGATATTAACAGTAATGGTACCAAATGATTTATTATCCAAATGTGAGCCAAACAAATTCAAGCAGAGATTCTCCTCCACAACCACCAAATCCTAAAATCCAACTTGATCATTCCATAAACTTCATGAAGAGATGGCCTGCAGAAGGCTCACTCAGTGAGCCAGCAGTATGCAGCCACAGCAAGAGTGTGCTGTGACTTCAGCTCCATTTCTATTCTAAACGTTCCTTGACAATAATAAGCAAGCTCAGAGCAGAAGAGCAAGAAAAAGAAAACATAATAAATATAAAAACAGCACAAAAGGAAGCATATGTTCTGTAACAATAGGTCCTTCCATAAAGGTCTTTTAAAAATTGTTTTCTGTAGTATATGTTTTCCACAAACTTATATTCAGCTTTCCAGCTCAGTTTATCTGCTTAAAAGGAAGGCAGATAGGGTGGCCTGGCAGGACTTTACCCAATTTTGTAGCCAACAAGGCTATTGTGGACAAGATGCAAACAAAAGTATGATAGTTTTATACAGGTGAATAGCAGAGCCTAGATAAGAATCTAGAAAAACATAATTGTTTTTCCAAGTTCCTATTTGGACTTGCTATGACCCATATTACAACACTCTTATTTGCACCTCATCTCACAAGCATCCACTGACCTGACCTATGCACTGTGATTCAATGTATCATACCAGTTTAAACTTAAAGTTAAAAAAAAATCTACCCAGTGCAATAGATTAGAGGCCCAAAATTGCCAAATCCTGCACCAAGTAATCATTTCAATGTAAGTTCAGACAGTCAGATATGAAGGGGGGGGGGGGGGGGGGGCTGAAACGTTTTGCACCCTATTACTTTTACAGGAAGGATTCTTTATAAACAGCTACTTTGGGTAGAAGAGAGAAGATAAATGAAAATTAAAGTTCACTACATGAATTATATAAACCCATGATGAAAACAGAGACTGATGTATGACTAATTATTCTCAATGCACCAGCCAAGAAGCAGCAGCTATGGGAAAAGTATGGGAAAATTGTGCAGTGTTTCCAACAACCCAGTTATTCCCTTCATTTTCTACTCCTGTCTTAAAAAGATTTTCTCAGAAGAATTCCCCCTCAAAGTCCGGAGGAATGTAACACATGCACAAAAAGAAAGGGAGTTAGTCAGTTATTTAATTCCTCCACTGCTCACAAACCTTTTCATCTTCTCCACTCAACTCCAGATGCTTTTCCACAAGTTTTAACATATTCTGTATGTCACTCTCAAATTTTTCCAGGTCCGGAAAAGCTACTCTGACTTCACAGGGCTCTGACATGACAGGAAGTCGTTCTTGTCCAACAAGCATCTGCATAGCAAAATAAAACTTTGTTCAAGCTGAAAATTTACTCTGAGCTGTCACACACAGTTTAATAATTTAAAAAAATTCTCCGTGAACAGGCATACCAGTTTGTAGGACCATCAGATATCAGCACAAAAAGGAATAGGAAGAGTTGTTTCATCTAACACTGAGAGTTAGCTTGGACACCGTGTTGATAGGTATTACCAAGCTTCTACTTTCAAACTTCAATTTGACCATTTTGGTCTCAAAACAAACAAAAAACCTCCAGTCACATTAGCTTATGGTGTTGTTCTGTAGTTCATATAAACATGTACTGAAATATATACATTTTTCTGAATCTTTGTAACACATTATTTGTGAATTTTCCCTTGCAACTCAAGTTATCACCTGCTACTCAGCTCAAAAAAAGCAGTTGGTCTAACATCAGTCTGTCCATTTTTCACATATAAATATCTACACTTAAAAGAGAATCAAAAGCAGCAAAGTGCTGTTCAAACACATAAAGATCTATCCCCTAAAGCTATTTGCCATCATCTTGGCACCGACACCCCCCCAGGCATGTTTTGGGGCTCACTCACCCTCACCTTGGCACTTTTGATGTGCTGAGAGACCTTCTCAAAGTTACGGTTCAGTTCTGCCAGTTTGGGTTCAACAAGTTCACGGCATGACACCCCCCGACCATTCATTAGGATGATAGCCTGATCACGCACATTATCCACTCGAAGACTAACATCATCTAATTCAGATGTTAAGCGCTAAGAAGTGAAAGAAAATGCAAACAGTTACCCTAGGAAAGGAAAAAATATTAAAAAAAAAAAAACCCAAACCAAAAAACCAACAAAACCAGGCAGCAAGCCTGCCTTGACTTCATTTCGAATCCAGAAGTGGTTAGTTGACAGCAACATTTCCTACCTTCACAGTTTCCTCCTTTTTGCTTGCTGACTTTTTCTCAATCTCATCCAGCAAGGCTTCACCCTGATACAACCAAGTACTTATGTGGGCAACATTTTCATCAAAAATTTCCAGCTGGCTCTGATGATTCTGAAAAAGATGAAAAAAATGTATCAATGTGAGAAACTTAAATAAATCCACAAAAAAAACGAACAAAAAAAAACCCCAAAACCACCCCCACAAAACCACACACCAAAAAAAAAACCCCTGCCAAAACCACCATTATGAGTAAAAAGAACATCAATGGAATAAAGTCTTATGGATACACCTTGGAAAGGAACACTGAAAATGAGATTGTAGCTTTCACCTTCAATAAGTATTTACAATAATTCAATTTTCATTCTAGACCCTTCAATATTATTGTTCCTAATTCACAGAAAAGGAAACAGAAATAGCTGAAGTGGTTTGTCCAACTAAATAAACACAGACAATGTACTACAACATTACAGCCAGACCACAGATCTCAGTCAACCAAAAAACCCATGATTTTTTCAATTATCACTAGCAGATACAACAGTACATATGATGTGCAGTGGTTGTTGGTTTGGTTTTTTTTTAATTGAAAGGGGATTACACCAAACCCTACAAATTATAATAGTCAAGTTTTGATATTTTACTGATCACATTAAAATATTTCTTCCTCTTAAGAAAAAGTCACCACATTGTAGACATGTTAATTCGGTCTGCTTTCACACGTAGTAAGAAACTGTAACGTTAGGTACCACAAACAGAACCAACACATTACTCTGTGTGACAAAACAAAGCTATCAGATTCAGAGAAGTACCATCCTGCTTAAACACAGGGTTTCTTACCCAAAAAAAAGCATAGCTAAGCTTTGATCTCTTAGACTAACAAAACAAAGGGAGGGGAGGAAAGAGAGTAGGCCTATGACTGCTCTCTATATCAAGAAACATATCTTCACCTAGCAATTTAACCTAACAAAGTCAGGACAAGGACAATACTCATCACCAGACATGAACATAATTTGTAAGGTTTTTAGTTGTGGATCATCCTTACAGCATTTACAAATACGGGTAAACTACCTGACTACTCCTAACATGGACATCACTGGATTATGAAACAAACAGAATGACCTGCAACAGGCACTGGAAAGGATGCATAGGGCTCACCATCTAGGCATACACCAAAGTTTCCACAATTTCAGCCCATATCAGGGCTTTCTGAAGGTGGATTGTCATAACTAGCTGAACAACACAGAAATACCTTAACTATCTGCTAGTATCAGTCTGTTATTAGCATCAATTGTAGACTGTTTCATGTCCATTTAGCAAAACTTGCAGCTTTAGGCTGTATAATATGCTTAGTCTTCCATTTACTCAGCCAAACAGACGCCATTGGCCTCAACTCTTGAGTTGGCATACTCTTAAACACTTGCAGTTACGGGCTGTCCGAAAGAGCAGTAGGCTGACAGAGGGTCCCAAGTGCTTTGCTGAACACCACTAGGAAGTTATCAATTGTCCATTAAGCAGCCATCATCTGAGTCTCAAGGAAATCTATCGACACAAAAATGCTCTGTTCATGCTGAAGCTGGCACAGAGGTTTCTTTCAGACTGAAGGAAGAGCAGCACACACAGCAGCCTCATGGAAACCAGTCCTTTTGGGCTAGTTCCTTTTGTTTTCTACTTACATTAATAAATTCATAAGCTTATAGAAAGTTACATAGAAAACACAAGATCCAACTTCTGGGCTCTAATTAACCTGTTATGAAACAAACAACACTTCCATAACCTGGCAGGTTTTTTCCCGCTCATTTTAATCTGGCAGAATCAGCTACTACCAGTTAATGAGTAAACCCACGAGCAGTTTTAGGAATGCTTGTATGCCCCATAACCCACTCAGTCTATGGGCAATGGTGGATGCTCCCTTTCGGGATAGTTCAGAAAGTTACTTCTATGCACTAGGGTAGCAAGAATTGTATTAAGAGCTAAATAACAAGTGGACACAAGAGGCTAGCCCTACTGGTGCAGCAAAAGAGAAAGTGATAAAACATTAACAGGGAAGAGGTACAAGGAATTGAATTTGTAAATAAGGACAAAAGATTAACAACATAATGTGATGGCACATAAAGGGTGGGGGGGGGCAGGTAAAGATATTAAAACAGATGTGTGAACGGTGCTCACTAAGTGTATGCTGGATTTTCTATACAAAAGAGGAATTACACCACAAAGTTTAGGGAGAGTAAGAACAATAAGAAACTAGAAAAGAGTCCTAGCACTGAAGCCAGGAGAAAGAGAAAGGCAGAAGAAAAAAAAAAGTTAAACCTAGTTTTATTCTCTACAACTAAGCAGGTTATTCCCACTAGGTCAAGCTAACTGTCTGCCTGGGAAATTTACATAGTTTCATCACTCTCACATCCAGATTCTGCATTTTCATCTCCTACCCACTAAGGGTACTAGCCACTACTACCAAGTGCATAGCACCAATATCTATCAGCACATCTAAAACACTTGCAAAACAGTTTCCCACATTCCTCACTGTATATAACCTCATGACTCACCTCTCCATCTGCAGTCTAACCAGATATCTATTCTACATTCCTTTAAGCCCATGAGGCACCACGGAGGCTTCACATCACAGCGAAGTGAGACAAGTAAAAACTGCAATTGCTCCAAGGGTGTGGAGGGAGAACCACCCTGAATATTTCTCACACGTGCAACTTACCAACAACGTATCACACCAGTCCTCAGTCCAGGTCCGAACTCTGCTCCAGCCAGCATTAAGGACACACAGCTTCTCCTCCAGGGAAGTCTCACTCCCTTCCACCAGAGCCTGGAGTGCAGTGCAGCTTTCCGTGATGCTCTTCAGATCAGCTTTCCTCCTCTCCAGCTCTCTCAGCACATTCTGAAACAAGAGGAGACATTAACACTGCACACTGCCCCCAATCACAAGGCAAAGGGAGCCAGGTTTCTACCTCCATGGGAAACAAATAGTATCATAGATGATTCTCACTTAAGAATAATCAAACCAAGTAGAATCACCTTGTGTTTATACTCACTCTCTGTAGATAGTGATCTCCTCTTTTTTTGAGAGAGAGACTGAGAGCATTATACATGTAAGTGTCATGAATAACTTAGCTTGAGAGTTTTTTGTGTTGTTGTTTTATAGTATCTTCACAGTTCCTTTTCATTATGTAGGTAAAGCTAATGCATCACATCACATTATAGGTACAATTTTAAAAGGTTCTTTTCTGCACTGTCAAGCACCACAGAGAATGCAATTTTGAAGAGACACTTCGGATTTCTCTGTTTCTTTTCCTACTGAAGTACTTTTACAGTTGGCAGCAGTGAGAAAAGTGGTAGGCCAAGGTTAAATGTTTTTTTGAGAACCACCACCGCTCGTTACTGCGTATGTTCAATTCACTTGCTACATATTACAGAAGCCCTATTGTTATATTACCTATACACAGATATGTAAATATATGTATCTTTAGCTCTAGTATTTTTCCAAGTCATCTCTGATTTTAAATAGGTTTCTCTTTTAAATGTAAAAAAAAAAAACCCCGACCTTATTTGAAAGAAAGCATACTGACATACACAAGTAATATGTCATCTCTTGAATATCAGTATATGGCTTCCATGTGGAAAATAGCACCTCTTGCCATACAAGATCACCAATTATTATTGATAACATCTGGCTATTTAGAAAGCTCTTTGATGTCAGTGTACAGTGTGTGGAAGAATGCAGTTAATCACAACTCATGTCTGAAGCTCCTTGAATATCTTATTATTTGTGAAGTAAATAATTTATTATTTTATCATAACTTACTATCTTACAGACAGAAGCAAATACTCAAATTACATTTTAAAATTGCCTCTAGAAAACCTTAAGACAGGAAGGACAACTTTGCATGCAACATAAAGGGCTTGTCCTCCTGGTGGTGCAGTGTAAGAGTTCACTGACTATTTGCATTGTTTACAAATCTATAGTAAGTATACTTCAGTAAATATTTACAAGCCTGTTCAGAAAGAAATCTTAGGGATACTGTCACAGCAGAAGTGTAGTGCTAATAATTGCTAATCCTGAGTGAAATGCGTGAGAACAGGTTATGATTAGATGTTTTCGCAGTTTTATAAGCTGTCAAGTTTTAAGATTGCACACAGACCTATTCCAAAAGTAAAAGGTGACAGAAAACAATGACTGGAAAGATCAGTACTGCTGAACTGTATCAACTGACACTTGTTGCTAACTCCAACTATTACATACACAAGTTTCTACAGTGTGAGAAAATAGATATTTTGCTTCAGAATAACACATTTGCCTGTTTCTATGAAAAGTTCCGATTTACAGATGAAAGAAAATAAGGAATTACAGGAGCTTTTTGTTTTGCAAGTCACAATTTTGAAGACAAAGCTGTTTCAATGAAAAGTTACAAACTCAATTTTTCATTAAAAATGTCAATGAGCGTTCAGTTTGCTCTGCTAGTAAAATATTTGACCCAGCCCAAAATTATATTTGCTGATAATTAAGGATATTATAATTATGAACTGTGTTAGAGATACAGTAAGTCACTTAAATACCTATTAATACCAAATATGTAGTAATATCTTTAACACTTCACTGGCCATTTAAGTTTGAGACAAGATGCCTGGGAGGAAACAGATCAGACTCAGTAAGGTACTGAATATTATCTACTCAATCCTCTAAAATTTCACGATGTAAGAGATTTAGGAACAAGTTACAGGGTTTTAAATTCACAGCCACTTCTACATAGTATTGCCTTAATGTTAAAAATTCATTCTACAGATATTTAGAGCATGCTTACTTTGGCCCAGGCAATTTCTGAATCTAGATCAGAAAGCAAGCTCTCTGAAGTGGACTTCTGCACGAGCTCAGCCTCAGTGGTAGCTAGCCACTCCGACAAAGAGGCAGCCTCTTTCCTCATTTTGCGTGCCAGCTGGGATGCTCTTTCAAGGTCTTGTTTTCCTTCTGTCACCTACAAAAAAAAATAAAAAGTAAAAAAGAAAACAAAATTAGATTTTAAAAGATAGCAAAACTGGAAGTGCTAGCCAGCTAAAATATCCACCCGAATATATAAAATCCTTGCATGTTAAGACTGTCTTGCATTAGGGAAGGACCCTGAAAAGAAAAACCATTTATAAACATCTGCATCTTACTATACAAAGCAGAATATATAAAACTAGAAAAATTTTAAATTAAGGTACACTTAAAGGAGATGGAGAAACCTGTATACCAACTTATTTATAGCTACTAATTGCCAAATTGATGTTTAAACTTTGTTTATTATGATCCTTTAACTAAAACTCAAGGGGACATAGAATCCCGTCAGTCAGTCACGCAGGTAAAATTCAGTTCCTTTTTGTATTTTGATAGACTTGCTAGCAGAAAGCTGTAAAGAAAAATTTCACTGAAAATCTAGTCTGCCCTTGAAAACATCTCAGTAAAGTGAATATGAAATTTGATGTTTGCTGCAGTATAATCAATTCTATTTCACACTGGCTATGCAATTAGTGTGGTCAAACTAACACAGATTTGAGAATAAATCCAACCATAGCAGTCAGAATCAATTGACATTTCAAAAAAATTGCCCTCTGTCTCAGCTTAGTGTTTGCATGTATTTATTCAAAATAATGCACTCTGAAGATCTAAAAAAATAAATTCAGACACAAAATCATAACATGATACTGCAAATAACTCTGCCTTTCTATCCTTTCCCACTTTCTTGTCTACATGCTTCCTAAGTTATAGACATACAGGTTCCACTAGAATGCGCACCTTTGTGAATGTTCTCCACTTTACAACAACAAAATATTTCCTAGGGCCCATTTCAAGATACTCCAACAATGTAATCTGTCTACTTACCCACAGCTTCATTCAGAGAATACTGAACAGGCATTAGTCTCCTTGGACTTCTGTCTTAATTTAGGTAGGAAAAGAATCCCCTATTTCCCCCGGCCCCTAAGGGTTTAACCATTTTTAAACACTTCACTTGGATAAATAACTATTCAATTACGAAGAAAATTACTCAAATCAATATTTAATTCAGTTCATGGGAACTACAGGTTTGCCTTCACTTTCTATTTTATACTGAGAGCAACCCTATAGATGGATTACAAATAGAAACCATCATGACACCTCCTAAAAAAATTTACATTGACTCAAACTTCTCATATGACAATCTGATAGTAAATTATCTTTCAGGCTGGTTTACAGAGAAGAGAAGGTACAACAGTGCTCAAAGACTTTAATGAATAGCAGGCCAGCTTTGCCAGAACGATGAAAACTCTGTGAACCTTTCTTCAAGTGTACCCCTCCTTCAGGAACACTCTGTGAGCACAGGGGTCTTGTAAAACTACAGGATTGCTATGTGTAATCTTTAATCTCTCAACTGATTGCTCCTGGATGTAGCAACTAGCCTATACAGTATCAGCTTCAGAATCAAAGTTAAAACAGCATCTGACATCAAAACAACAAAGAAGGGCATTTATAGGCAGACAAATGTTCATATGTACATTTGTTTTTCTTACCTGTGCCCCCAAGTCATTGTAGAGAAATTTCAGTGCTGTCAGTTGTTCATCCATCCCTTTGGGATTATCTGTCTGTTGTTTCTGTACAATTTGCCTTCCTGTCTTGATGACAGTTTCAACCTCCAATTTCACCTCACTGAGGGTCTTGTAGAGTTTCTAAAAACATGAATATGTATATTGGTGACGAGTTTGTAGTGCAGATTTTCAGACTTTGCTTCATTTGGGGACTTGACCATCAGATTGCACTTAAACTATGAGCTATGGATTAAGAGCAATGTCTGCCAAGAAGATTTCAAACTCCTGATGCTCCATATTTTATTCTAGTTTTAATTTTCATCCCCCTCAAAAAAAAAAAAAAAGAATTATCCCAATAATTTAGCAGTGTTTACTCCATAACATCACCACATGTGGCAAGCCTAACACTGCGATCTGTACTTGATCCTATGTATAGTACTGTTTTGTTCAAATACTAAGAGCCAAGAAAAATTGTCCCTGGAGTGACGCTTCTTCATAACACAAGGATGAGCCAGGAAAGGGAGTTTTTATAAACTCAGCTGTTCCACCACATCTGTGATCAACAATCCACTACTTTTATGTCGACATTCTCACTCGGAAGAATTAGAGGGTTTTAGTTATCAATTGTTCTGTTGGCGTTTTGCAACGAGTTGTAACATTTCCACCAGGACTTCAAGCAAAGTTTCCTCAGTAGAAAGTTAAGGCAAGAAGAATGACACAAGAAAGAAATAACCCCAAGCATAAGTTAAGAATATTGCATACTTACCATGCACCTGTCCAGATGAGCTTGGATTACATCTGGGTCAGTATCCTTCACATCCAAGACATGAAGTTCTGCTTTTACACCATCTAACACTCGCTTACAATCCAACATGCGCTGCTCAAAATTGGCTGGTTTCTGGAAAAGCTGATACTTCGTTGATACTTCACGGAGTTTTCTCTGTTTATGTTAACAGATTGTTTTAAAGTAATATCTGCACTTCAATAAATAACATTTAAAGCATCTCCCCCCACAGACTCTAACTCACCTCTCATGCAACCACAACTCAGTATACATGGTAACACTATTTGCCAAGTCAAATTCCACCACCTATTCCTAATCTCCACCTGAGGTGCAAGAGAGCTATAATTCTGTAGCATGTGCTTTCAAAATATCTATTCTACTAAAATACAGAGACTTTCTGACTTTCAGCATTTATCCCATGACACTAATGAAATTTAAACTTCCTTATTTAATTCAGCTAGTGCTTCTTGTTTCCTAATGAAAGCATGTAAAAGCATACACTATTTACTTCTGAGGTTCAGTTGACCACACCAAGCAATTTACAGGCTAACAGCAGTGTGTAATTGAAAACCAGAAGCTCTTCACATTTACATTCTTAGTATGACTCTCATATTTTTACCTGCAAAGCATCCAGCTGAGTTCCACCACGGGGAGACCTGCATTCAGGAGAAGCAGGAGGGAAAGAGCGAGCACTTTTCTTGAGCTCCTCTAAGGTGGATTCATGAGCTGCAATCTCAGCTTGAATTTTCTGCCACGTCATAGAAACAGGAAAAAAGTGTGTTAAAAAATTGCTTGCAGAGAGGGGAAGAGGAACTTGCTTACCACCTACTACCCACCAGAAGTAAATCCACTCTGTAAAATTTAAACACTTGCAGGTTTATTTTAAAATATTCTGGCTCTGGTGACAGCTTGCTAAATTGAAAGCCATTAAGATTGTTGTTCAATATGCAATGTTATTCCTTCTTAACACAGGAAAACAATCCAGATTACAAAAGATATCAGCACTGGACTGAAATGAAGCCTTCATGAATTACTAAGTCTAGGCTGAGCCCTATCATGAGATATTTCAAAATGTTTTGTAGTGAAAAGCGATACTGGAATACCTGGGCCTCCTGGGGCATCTGAAAGGCATCTACCCTATCAGTCAGGTAAGATGTCAGCTGTCTATCCAGCTCCACTAAGTTTTCCTGCAAGACCTGCAACATGTGGTCAGTTTCTCGCATGGTCTGAAGCTGCTGTTCCAAGGCAATCTGTCGACTCACCGCCTGAGTGGGACAGAAAGGTAAGACAAGATGGAGCAGTAATTCAATACAGATTATATTAAACTTTCTCCAAACAAGGTGGGGGAGACCCAAAAAGCCGTATGCCAGGAGGACTGTCTAAAAAGAGCAAAAGCAAGCCCTAGAAGGCAGCAATTTTTGAAGCCTGCCGTGATTCATACCGGTAGCTGACAAATAGTGGCAGGGAAGGAGAGTTCTGCCTCTAGATATACAGGATAGTGAAAACGGGTCTCTCCTGTCACCTCAGGAAGAAAGTATTCCGTTAAAAACATACCAGTCTCAAAAACTAGCTATTCAATTGGAATCACGGATTTTGTAATACACTACAGAACAATATTGTTTGATGTGTAAATTTGCACATTTTCTTTCAAAACAATAAACTCTGTCTTTCTGTTACAGTGTGAAAACAGAGATTCACAGTCCCTTCCCTCCATTGTCTCTCCCTTCAACAGCAAAACTTCTAAGTTCATCTGAAATGTCACTACTTGCACAGGAACACAAATTCCCCACTATCAACACATGCACAGACCAGTGGGAGCATACATACACACACACAGAGAGGCAGAAAATTGTCAACAGCCCAGTGTGTCAGCGCTGCAGCTGCCAAAGCAGATAGTTTTTATATAGCAATAAAGTACTGCTGTAACAGGAAAAACAATAGCGAATGCTAACTTAAATGACAGCACGTAGCCCCCAGCTAAGGGCACTGCATTCATGTTGCTCACTGTAATAAGGATGAACTGAAATTCCCTCTATGACCACACTATGGCAGTGACAGAAAAAAACCTCCCATCCTACAGTTTGGCAGGGGCCTGTATTACCAGGATACAGAACACAAGTTACAGATTTGTGCAACCTGAAATACAGCTAATCTTCCTCTACCTATTAAATCCAGAAAAGATTAGACTAAAGTATGAGAAGAGGAAGGGGACAACATAATAGATGGGGAATGAGAAGAATATTTTCCTTCTGTTCCTTATTTCGGTGTGACTTCTTCCCAGCTATTTCAAAGAGTGAAAATGTCACTTATTCATGTTCCTCATTTTTACAGTTAGTGAGCAGCTCACCAGTATTTATGGCAGTAGGAAGGGAATATTAACCTCAGTTATTGAACTGTCCCCCCTGAGATTTTTGTCAGAATTACCTGGAAAAATACCAGGGGGTCCCTGCAGTGCAAAGGTGTGCAAGTGTTCCTGACTCAAGTCAGGGGTGGGGGGGATCTTGCTCTTAGGGCATTATTCCAAATTGAAAACAGCTGACAACACTGTGAAGGTTTTTCCTCTTTTCCTGTATTGCACTCCTGCATCTATGAATTCAGCTATCTAACAGAAATCATTTCAGACCACTGAGCTGAAAAACTCAGTCTACTTCAACCCTGCCCCCAAATTCTTACCAAGTGACTCAATTCTTCATAGCGGGCATTGAAAGCCTCCAATTTTTCACTGATGATATCATCAAGAATCCCTCCATCAATCAGTGTCTGCCCAAGTTCCCGAATCTGGGTTCGATTATCAGCTGGATGACGCAGGACTGATTCCAAGGACTAATTAGCAGAGAAAGTTTTAAAGGTCAAGACACTGAATATTACTGTATTTTCAGAGGTGGAAATCTGGCTGCATGCACAGAAGTTTTACACTTCAAATGTCTTGAGAGTGCGCTAAAAGCATGAATTAGTTATAGGTTAATCCATGATGGCACAAGGCATATACACTGGCCATTTTGCTTTAGATAATTAAACTTCACAGCACTTCTTGCCTATTCATATGATTGCATACTATAGTGCTGGAAGGAATTAATCAATTTACACAGAACAGGAGAGAGGATACAATTTTTTCATGTACCAAGTACGGCACAATCATGTACAGCAAAATTCAGCTTTTGCTGGACGACCTTACAAATACCCATTCCAGATTCAGAGTAAAATGTTAATTTAACCCGAAGAATCAGAATATTCAACACATATTTCAGTATTCTACTGAAGTGCAGAATTGATGTTTTTTTTAAACGGAGCTATCTGAAAAGTTACCAATCCAACAGAATGACTACAATACCTCAAGAGCATCATTGACAGCATCCAACTTATCAGGCAGATTTTCTGTCATTTGCACCCTTTCTTCCAGATTGTTTAGCCAAGCTGTTTCTAAATCAAGATACTGAAGCAGCTCAATCCAACAGGACCACACCTCCTAGGAACAACAGAAAAAACATAAATTAGCCTAGAATGTCAGGCATAGCTCATATACGCTATGAACAGCTTAAAGAAATTATGTTTCTGAGACGTTCACCTAAAATAGGCAAGTAGAAAATATTCAAAAACATGCCATGGCACAGTAAGTTCTAGACAGAACAATCTGAAACTATAGCAGCAAGGTAAATAAAAAAACGCAAAATACACATAGAAGTCTCTAAACTCATGCTAAAATTATCACTGACATCCAGATTCTTACAACAATTTAAGAATGTAACAAAATGCATCCACTTCTCTTGAAAGACAGGACATACACAACCTACCCCAAACTATAATCAGCATGTTCTAATTATCATCGTATTTCAACCTTTCATTTCTGAGAAGTTTCTTTTTGTCATTTTGGAAGACACAGGGATGGATAACAGAGCTGTGAGATGAGGTTACTTGCTTGCACAAGTGTTGATTACAATACAGATTATAAAGCAAAGTTAGATGGTGTCTCATGGATTCCAAGGATGCCATCTCAAGGGAAAGTAATCTTGGAAAGGAGCCACAGCAAAATGCATTTATGCTGAAGCTACTGGATTGAGTGACAAAATTGGACACTTCCAGTGTCCTTCTCCATTCTTCTTGTGCCACCTGCCTCCGTTTTACTAAGCTGAGAGCTATCTTTCTTACCTCCAAAGTGTGGCATTTCCCCCGAATCCGATTGCACAGTAGCTGGTAGTTCTCCAGTACAACATTCAGCTCAGTTGCCAGGTCCTGACCACTAGACGGCACTTTGGTGGCCAACATCTTGATGTTGTCTTTGAGAATCTTCACCCGCACCTCTTTCTGCAACACATCCTCCTTCGCTCTCTACCCAAAGAAACGTATTACACGATCAGCCCTCAATTGCCATACAGTCAGCTATTTACCACTCAAACCAAAGATCAGCAGTTTAACCTTGGAAGTGTTGCTGCCAAAGTATTCTTGGGTCTGAGCACAACAAGATATGGCACTAACTTGCATGGAATTCAGATTATGTTAGTAAGCATTGAAAAATCTTATTTTATTAAACATACAGATTTACCATTTTTTGGTTTGTTCATTAAAAATCCATGACTCAAACCAAAAAAGATCAAGTTCAGTACTATTTATACACTAGCACACAGATATAAAAAAGAGAAATGAACCAGAAAAAAAAAGGAAAAAGAGGTTTGCTTAAAAACAAGCATATCGGGAGAAAAAGGTAGGGTGAATTTACAGAAGTTATGAGTCTCAGAGCTCAGTAACTATCTCCCAAAGTTATCCAGGAAAGATGACGTAATTATCTGGGACATGTGCAACTACAAAGTTGGGACCTCTCCCACAGCTATTGGGTGCGCTAGAAGAACATGCAAAAAGGACAACCAGAATAATTCTGCTGGAAGATAGATCACGCAGACCAGTCCGAGCCTGTCTCTGTTGAGACAAGTAGATGGCTCCAGAAATAGAGACTGTTCCATATCTGTTTCTTTTCAGGTTTCAAGAACAGTTTTATGAAGTTGAAGTACCTCTGATATATAAGGCACTGCACTTTATGGTAGAATTTAATACATGACAGCATTATTGCTGCACATATTGTTCGAGATGTCTTCTAAATGTAAGGCAATAAAAAAAAAATGCCAGTTAATGGAAGGGCAAAGAATGGAAAATCTGGGGAACACATTATTTTATGGCAGGATTATCAAAAACCACCTAGCCTCGTCTTAAACCTTCCCCTTCAAATGTCAGCAGGAGTTCCACTCTCTGTTCAAATGAGAGCAGAATTAGGCAAGCTCAAAAGTTTTCCAAAACCTTATGCAAAAATGCTCCTGGTCAAATATGCAGAGAGTGTTCATTCCCAGCCCTAAAAGTAATCCCAGCATAATATTCTTACTGCAAATGAAAGAGGATATGCAAGTGTTACAGTAAGCTTACTGGCTCACTGACATATCTGCCAAATTTAAAAGTACAGAATATAATCTGGATTTGACAAAGGTAAATGTGCTCAAAGTCTCTCAGATTTGCCAATGAAAAGAGGGTTCTTTCTTGTCTTGGCTTGTGTTTAGCAGGCTGTCAGACTATGTGATCTCAAATGGCTTCAAAGGGCATATTAAAACACTTGTTAAAGACTGCTTCAGAAAGCCCGTTCAAAAAGAACAATTCAAAACTTCAAATAGATTTGTCAAAGCATTTGTAAGGGAGAAAAAATTCTTTATTTTATGCTCTATCGAGTAACAGTGTAGTGGATACTCATTTAAATTAAAGAATGTGCATGCAAGTCAAAATGTTTGCGAAGATATGCCTGAACTCTCAGATTTAAAAGCAGAGAGAATTATTGTTTACCCTGTACATACATCCAAGAAAATTATCTATTCAACTGGTAATTTAAAATGAGACAAAAAATAGCTCCTTCATCTCCATTTTTTGGCCACCAGTCCCAAAATTAGAGAAGCAGGGATCAACATCACTGTTTGCAACAGATGAGGAACACAAGGTAACCTTACAACAGAACTGTTTTAAACTGCTTTTCTAAATATGGAGTTGCTATATCTAGGGGACAAGAAACTGAAGCCCAACAACTAGAAGTAGAACTATATGTTTTCACAGCCACTAATTTAGACAGGTATATATCACCTTTTCTTTCTTTCTCAGGTTTCATCTCCTGCAATAAGTTTCATCTCCTGCAATAAGTTTCCATACTCTTAGTGTTTCATATGCTATACATAGCAAGCCTGCCTCAACAGCTGGGCAAGCTGCTATTCATTATGAAATCCCTACCCCTCATGGCCAAACAGAACATCTGCTTTTATAGTTTATGCTTTAAAAACAAAAATTCCACACAGCAAAGCTGAAAAATACCGCTAATCTTGTCATAACCTGAGCTCCTTTCCACACAGATAATAGTTCCACAAAAGGTCAACCCCCCCAAAGCCATTAAGTTTTGTTTCTCTTTAATCAGGTCTCTACAATGACCTGGTATTCCTGACCTTCATTTCCTCCACCGCATTCTCTAGCTCTTCAGGGGACTTGTATTCAAAATCTTTCTCCAAATATTCTTCTTCAGCTTGGGTCATCCATTCTTGCATCTCTGCCAAATCCTTCTTCAGATTTACAGCTTTTTCCTGACTTTCAGACAGGCGATTTTTCTGACTAACAATCTAGAATCCAAGGTGGAAAAAGAAACACCAGTTTTGTTACTTAAATGTCCTTGTATATGTGAAAAACCACAAATCTTTGTCAAAACATTTTACTAGCAAAACATTTTCAGGCCTTTTTAATTAACAAAAGACTTTTACATACACACACATGACTTCATGCTCCCTTTTTAGGAGATCAACAAAATCTAGAGGTGAGGGAAGGAGGAAAATGACCCTTTTTTCCCTTGTTGCATGTAAATTGGTAACAGTCCCTGGAAAAATTCAGACAGAGGAAAAACCTCTTCTAAACACAAGTATCATACAGTTAGATAGATCTTTATACAGAGCACTAAAACACCCTTCAGGCCTTGCTTCTTTCCACAGCCCAGGCAATCTGGATTCCATATCAACAGCAAGGTTCTCCAACACAGATCCTCACCAGGCATTGAAACTAAAGAATTATGTTTGTACAGACAGCAGAAAGCTTCCACCCAAAACAAACAACCAAATACACTAGACTGAAGTGGTAGTCTATTTATAGGTATTTATTTTTTAAAGCTGCTTGGAAGCAGGCAGAAATTACACAGGGCCAGAATAATATTCCGGATTTCAGGAACAACAGAACAGAAAGGTCATCCTTCCCTCCCACCTACCCCAGAAAGAGCAGCATGAGGCAAAGTGAACAAATTAATTTTTAGTTACAATTAAAGAGTTCACTGCGCTCCTTCCAGTTAGGTATCAAGAAGTGCATGTATTCAAACAAAACTACTGTTGCCCAGGTATCCCCTTACCTAGTTGCACTTCTGAAGGACTGACTGGGCCAAGTTGGATTTCAGCCACTCTGACAGTGGAACAAGTAAAACATACTCATCCCACTGTTTCACTGCTTTCACTATCCTACCAATGCCACACAACAGAACAAACAGCTGCACTAACAAGCAAGCACTAGCAACATATAAAGAACTCACCTGTTTACTCAGTTTCTCCCACTGAGTCTGGCAGTCTACTAGCCTAGACTTTGCCCAAGTATTTATGCTTGCAATAGGCTGAGCTCTTAAAGAAGACTCTACTTCTTTCATCTCTTTCAGTGATGGTTCAGTCGTCTCCATTTCATTGACAAACATCTGAGCACACATCAGAGAAAATGAACGCTCTTCTTTAGCAAGACATTACATAAATTTATAGGATACCCATAATCTTGTAATTTTTAATTATTCCAGAGAAACTTTAATAAAAAAAGCAGATTGATGCTGTGTTCAATACCAGACTGTTTAAAACAATCCTTCAGTGCCCCAAAACATCAGAACTATGCAACTGAAAAACAAAATACAGTTTGCGCAAACATTCTCACATGCCAAATGTCAGCACTGGAACAATGCAAGTTTGAAGACTGCGTGCACTAAATACCCTGATGTTTCTGGCATACCTCAGACTTGTATTATTCTTCCAGAAACAAACGTTTGAAAGTACACTGTAATTACTTACTATAAGATGAAATTCCATCTGTGATCATTATGTGCCACTAGCTAGGAAGGAATCTTACTTGTAAGACACATACAATTCCTAAACCCTAGGAGTTTCATCAGAGTTATTTGCTTGTTATTTTTCTTCCCCTGGGGGGTTTAATGCAGAAAGCACTTTTCATTCACAGGTTCAATTCCCTTATCACAAAATTGGGAAAAATATATAAACATTTTCAGAGGAAATAATGTCAACTTGTAGATGAGTACTTGTAAATATGGCGAAGACCTTCGAAAAGTACAAAGTGTTATGGCTACACACAAGAAACCAATTAAAATGTGCCCTGAAGAAAGATAAGACAATTTTTCCGACAGGCTTTATGGAATATGCCAGGGACAATATTTAATAATACACACAAAATAATAAAGAAGAGATGCTAGTCATTATTTATTTCAAAAGATTCCTTAAAAGCACAAAACTCACTGTGCACTGGCCAAGTTGTCTTTGAAGTCCTTCAGTATCTCCTTGAACAGCCTTTTCTGTCATTAAGAAGTCTTTCACACCGTCCATCCACTTCTGAACGACTTTTAAATCAGCCTAAATCAAATACAGTAATGAAGAGTTGATAATACTGTGATGAAGAAAGTATGGCTGTTGCATTTCAGCTTCTAGCAGTGTCAAAAATACATTCTGCAAGCTGCTAGCATTGCCTTGGTTTTGAATCAGACCACCTTTGGTTTAATTTTTGGGTTGGTTTGTTTGGTCGTGTCCCTCCGACCCCCTACAATTTCTCTGTTCTCAGACTTATAAGAGAATTCAGTTCACAATAGTGATATTCTCCCATCCATGCCACAGCATGGTTTGATTGAGGCTGTGCTGCTCCAGGCTATCACACAGAAACATGGGATCAAATAAGGAGGCAAGCACGGCTTCAAAAATTATGTGGTTACCCTTCACATGAAGGACCTGGCTGAAGGCTGGGAATAGCATTTTTCTGAGAACAGAAATCATGTATGACTGCGTTCACCACACTCATTCGAGAGACATACTGCACTCCAAGAAAAATAGAGGGCCCTATAGAAGTATACGTAGGGAGAAGAGGATGGAGTAGTGCTAAACATACTTGACAGGTAGAAGCTATGCTGGGAAAGCCATTCGTCTTACAGAGAAACACAGGCATAAAAGGAAAATACCACAGAGGATTAGACTAACCACTAAAAAAAAAAAAAATCTAGCTGTTTGAGGCTAATAGCAGCTACTGTACTCACTAGAGCAATGCGCAGGGAAAAAGTAAATACCTACAAAATTTGAGGGTTATCTGACCTAACATTTAGCAGTTGCCTTATATCCATGATGAGGCAGGTGGGGAGAGGGACAGGAGGGTTGTCATCTCCTTCCCATGCAATTGTGGATGTTCCCAGTCACCCTTACAAACAAAACCATCACGAACTTAGAGCACGGAGAAAGTTTTTCCTTGTCCTGGTTCAACTGAGTTATATGATTGCCATTTTTTAATAATATAGTTGGACTTTCTTTAATCAACATTTTTTTACTGTTTGGTTGGGTTTTTTAATAGATGGCATCTTTTCATTCTGGCACAATCATCATCACAGAGCACTGTTATTGAGAAGCCGAGTCAAAGCTCATCAGCTTCACCTTCTACTCTGCATGTCACCAAGGAGGAAAGCACACACTTTGTTTCCTTAAAAACCTTGCAATAACAGTTCTTTCAAGATCAATGTGTTACACACTGCTTCTCAAAAAATGTCTGCACTAATGAAAACCCGTTAGACTAAGATCATGTTTATTTTTAGGCCAATGCTACCATTAGAGGTCGAAGTCATGACATTTTCTTCATTCCTTTTCCATTTTGGGGGAATTTCCTGCAGCTGATTAGCCTGAAAATCATTTTCCAAAAAACAGACCCCAGGAGGCCTAACAGTGAACCATGGCTTAATGTAAAAAAATACATATTTATAAAGGCTGCCATTTGACAAGGCATTTTAGCATATACCTAATTTAGCTTGCTTACAGTAAGCTACTTATATAAGAAGTAGCTGAAGTGAATTAAATGGGATTACTCACAAAGTTAGGCACACATTTAAATAACTTGCTGAATCACAAGCCAAGCCTACAGAAGTTTAATGAAGTAAATGCTCCTGCACTGCACAGGCAAATAATTACCAATGGTCAAATACCCAGTGTAGACTGTTGATGTACAAGAGCTCACAATTTTTAGACACAAACTAGAACACTGGATCGGTTTCTAAAATCTATCCCAGGCAGAAACAAAGATCAAATGTGCTGAATTTTAACTTGTTCTCTCCTAGAAAAACCACATGATGTACAGCCATGCAGTAGATGAAAAAATAGAAGAACTGAAGGTGATACATTATCAAAGACACATCAAGCCACGCATTATTAGAGGTATGATAACAGAGAATACAACATACAGAAATGTTCTTCTAGAAAATACAAGATGCAAAAACGATAAAATGAGGCTTGTCTACTTTTCCTGTCACATGACTATTACAGACAGTCTCACAGTAAAACACAGATCATTTCACTAATGCACGTGTTGTCAGCTTGGGGGAGCCTCTGTCACATCTCAAATCACAGAAGGGCCACCTGAGCAGCTGGACTCACAGGCAGATCTGCCACTGACTTGCTCATCAGACTAACAAGGACATTTGAAGCAGTGTTCACTTGTCTGCTCACTGTTAAAATGAGAATACTTACGTTCAGTTTCTTTTCAAAAACCTAAATGTAAGGAGTGCTGTTTTGGGAAACACCAGTTTTTAAAGGTGAACTGGGGAAAAAAAACCAACCACCACCATTAAAAATAAATCAACACTTGTGTGTAGTTGCATATGACCACACGTTCTCCAAAGGTTGCCATCCACTTGCTCCTTTTTTTGTTTTTTCCTCACCCACTTTTCTTTTTTTTTTTTCCTTTAATAGCCAGATGCTTCATCTCCACTCTTAACCAAGGAGATACTGCCCAGCCATTCTCCAAATTAATTTTGTGTCTCTGGTTATCACATCTCCAGTACCGGCCCGTTCAGTGTCTGCACCAGGACCATGTATCCAGTCTCCTGCATCAATCTTTCTTGCAGTGCAAGTTCTATCCTGACCTGTCCAATGCCACCCACAACATTTTTATTCAACTTGCTCCACATTCTCATTTTTATTCATACAGTGCTAGACTACAAAAATCTCTGCAGAGATTAGTACCACTCCTTCAAAAGGAAAAAATCAGAGAATATAAATACATGACTGTCCATCCACTGACAGCTTTATGAAACATTTAGAAAACACAGGAACCATGTACTTAAAAGTTCGGTTCATGAGAAAACACCCCCACTGTAAGCCCCATATTTCTACAGATAGCACCACTACATATTTCTTCCATTTTCAACTATTTAATAATTACTTCCATTGTTTCTTCTGCTTTAATTTCTTTTTCAGCTTCTGTACTTCTTTTTAAGGTAACAGGAAAGTTTTTAACATCTCATTCAGGACAGAATTCTGTTCTCAGATCTATACAGCAGCACACAGCTTCAATGCTCTGCTCTCCATAGCTCTTCAAAACTCCCACAGGCATAAAAATCCACATCTTTCATCCATGGTGGTACCAACATCACTTTGGACAGCTGTGGAGAACAGGGCACTTCACCTTTGACTGAAAAAACTGAATAATTGATTACTAAATAAAAACCTGCCGTGTTAATACTGCACATGTGTACCCTACTTTCAGCGAAACATGAGACAGAATGTCAGTTTTCAGGAGCCATTCTTCACCCAGTTACAGCTGTGATTTAGGAAAGTAAGTACATGCACAGACCACTCAAATGAACATGATTCAAGTGCAGAAGAAGAGTTCTGCACTTACAAGAAATTAAGAGAGAAAAAAATGCTAAAACTGATGAGATAAGTAGGTCTTGCTCAGTGTAGCTACAGATAATCAAGTCAACTGGAAAGCTGCAATCATTTGAAGAACAAGACTGATAGAAAGTTGTTGCACAAAGGACACTGAGGCAGGCTTACATGCAGACTACTTATTCTGTCATGCTAAATAACTAATAAGTGTAACCAGAAAGAGAGGGAAGGGAAGAGAATGAGACATGGTGGGATATTGTACATTTAGGTCAAAGTCAGGAGAAAAATTATTGAGGAGATGGTCACTGGAAAGTAATCACCAAAGGCTTGGCTAAGCCTTAGAAGTTAATTTGTTTTAGGCTCCTGTACAAGCCAGCTCACTTTGTGCAGTCAGCTCCTGCTGACCAGCAGCATCAGCTCTTCCACAGCTCCACATCATCCCACAGGCTGCTGCAAGTAGCTACGGAAGGATGGGTTTGAAGGCACCAGACTGAAAGCAGAAACTCTTTCAAATGTAGGTGCACAAGTACACATATTCCTGAACATGTTTTTTTAAGGGGTTGGGGGGGGAACGACACACGACAGCTTTTATCTTTATGCTTCAGGTAATACAGCCTAACAGTATTACACAGAAGTGTTATTTAAAAAAAATACACATTTTCCCTCTGAAAACCTGGAATGCCTCCTCCTATTTATAAGTTGGTTCATGGCTTCCATTTATAAGTTCACTAGCCTAGACTGGACTACCATACCTATGGTATTCATACACACACGTCCCACACACACACTGCTAGGAGCAAATAATTAGTGAATAACACTTTACAAGCAGGAGCAAGTTTTTCCCTCCAGCCTTTTTCCCCAAGTAAAACTTTTCATGGGAGCATGGGTGTGCACTCTGCTCTTAATTGTCATTTAGTTACAATCTGTTACCACCACTATGACTTCTTCCAGGTTTGTGGTTTGGTCCCTACCCCCAAAAAAAACCCACAACAAAAAAAAACCACAGAGGCTTTTACTACTTCTGAAACATAATCAGCAACGGCTTGTCCAACTTTCACTGCAACATTATGCTAGTCAATTAGAATCACAGAATCATAGAATGCTTTGGGTTTGAAGGGACCTTTAGAGGTCATCTAGCCCAACCCCTCTGCAATGAGCAGGGAATTACATGGCCTTACTAATATAAATTTCAGTTTAAACATGTGTCTATACTTAAGTAGTCATTAAAGATCCAGTCCGGCTTAAAATATAAAACAATCCCCAAAGCCACTTAGTCTGAAGTTTGAATCGACTATCAAATAAAAGAACAGTTTTCTGCTTCAGAGGGAGAAGAGAGCAAAATTGAAAGAAACTTTTGGGGAAAAGTGGTAGCATGGCACCAATGTTCTGAAGAGGGTGCATGCAGCAAGTTGCTTATGTTTATCAATTGTGTGATACATACTCTGTTAAATGGAAAAGAATGTAAATAATTCCACAAATTAAAATATGTTTAATGCATGTGAAAATACAGATTTCTGTTAGCTAATGCACATGTGCATTCATCCCAAGAGACAGAGAATCTCTAAAAGCACCTTCTGGCTTTTTATAGTTTAAAATGTAATATGAAAATAATATGAAACGTATTTAAAGTCTAGTTAAACATTACTCTTGGAAAAAAAAAGGGCACTATATTTGGGCTTTTATACTGCTCTAATCAGCTTATACTTTTCAAACTGATACTGAAAAATGGTTAGTGCCTACTTAACTTTTGAGTCACAATAATATTGCTATGGGCTAAATCACGATATATTTATTTTTCATTATTTTTTCCCTCTCCCCAGAGGAATATAAATGGCCTAGAGAAGGGACTTAAAGCAAACACAAAGAAACGCATCTAACCAGTAAATACTGAGTCAACCTCGGCTAAGTTATTTAAGCACTTATCTCTCCCCTCTTTATCAATGGGTTAAACATCTAAATACCCTTTAAATACCCTTGCTTTTAATCCCTTCATTTTTAAAGCATTGGGATTTTCTGTTATGCAGGATTTCGTTTGTGTGTGTGTATTTAAAAAAAAAAATCTACATATGTATGTAAGAGTGCCGATTAATCTTAATTCTTTAAGTCTCCTTCCTGACATTCAGAGGCCATCTGCTGGAACTGGAAAACTCGCTATACCTAAACATTTTCTTTATTTCATTTTTTAACAGGCTGTACTAATTCTTTATTACTGTTGACAGAAAACCCACCTGAAGGAGCAGGTTTTCTGTAGCAGGTATGGAATTTCAATTTTAGATGTCAAACTAGTAAGGCATTGGGCACCTGACACCAACCACAAGAGAGGGCAGTCAGCCACTGGTGGGATCAAGCCTTCAACAGCACAGCTGACATACCCTTGACTTCAGCATAACTTTTGCTTCTGGTATTGAAAGAGGTGGAATGCTAATTTTAAATGAAAAGTAATTCTATTAGAAGATAAAATAATAGAGAGAGAGAATAACTGAGAGCCAAGGAGAACCTCCATCCTCTGCTGGATGCGGGAGGGAACATTGTCACCGAGGACAAGGAAAAGGCTGAGG